GCAGAAGCCTTGCTCACATCAACCCAGCCCTGTGCTCCACCCTAGTCCAGCTAATTCACACCTCTTTCTCCCTCCAAGCCCAACCTTATTGGGGAATCTGGTCACTCACCCTCCGCTGCAGAGAGGAAAGAGGGGGACTTCCTGGGAGAGCCCTGAACTCCTCCCTCCTGATCGGCTCCCACCCTCAAAGGGTCCCGAGACCCTCCCCTCTCCCCTCTGGCAGTGCAAAGTGGGGAGGGGCCTTCTCCAGGATCTTTTCACACTGACTCAAGCCTCTAATCATCTTATCAAAGGGCCCTATTGGGATGTTTGATAAGGCCCTCAGGTACAGCAGACTGGAGAAATATGGTCTAAAATAAGGGAAACTCTAAAACACAGGAGCCTGTCTCTTAAGATATTACACACTTCTTAAGAATGTGTGAGAAAATCCAATACCACTAAATTATACAAAGCAATATATAATAGAGTGGAACTTGCACATTTATACGAGTCCTCTATTAAAGCCTGTTCTGAAATAAATTACCAGCCCATGGTGAGTCTGTGTTCATAAAACTGGGCCTTATCATGGATTGTCTTAACACAGAGTAGGTAGGAAACACTTTGGTAGGGGATCTACTGGGGGATAAAGCAGAGGCTGTGGACATGGGTGAGAGCCAATGAGGGGGTCTACTATTCTGAACAGAGGGTAGGCATGGTGACAAACCTGAGGTTGGGCCGCAGGATGGCATGGGTCACAATGAAGTGAACCTTCTCCAGGTTGGACATGGGTCCGTCTGAGGTAAGGCTGTTGGGCTCATATGGCTGCTTCTCAGTGCTCAGCTGACTGGCCACCTGGAGACCCAAAGATGTCAGTCAGGATAGCTGTGGGCTCCCGTTTGCCACGGGGCCACTGGAGCTCATGGGAAGGGTGATAGCCCAGAGACCCATGTCAGACCCATGTCAGGCCATTGGCGTTGTTGAGGCCAGACTGCAGTCTCCTCGACTCAAAGTCACCTGGCCTGTGGTCCGGGAGGAATTCTTCAACTTCACGGAGATGCTCTTGGTCCCTCTGTCCTTGTGATTGGGCTTCTGTGGAGGAGACAGTTCTTGAGGGAAGGTGAGCTGGACCTCTGGTGGGGAACAGTAGGGAAGCTTAGTGGCTGGTCCTTCTGTTTTCCAATGCTTCGAGCTCTCACAAGACAGGCGTGAGGCTCAGGGGAGGCTGGGGAACACAGCTCAAGCAGGCCGGGGGCAGGGAACTGTCTTCTCATTCCCAAGATTGTAAACCTGGGCTCAGAGCTGGGTCCGAGGTATTTCTGCATACCGCCTCCCTCATACCTAGCACAGAGCCACATTTGTGGCTGATCTCAGAATAGGCATCTTATTTCACCGTGCTTCGCATAGCTTGTGTTTTCTACAAATGAAATGTTTGTGGTAACCTTGCAAGGAGCAGTCTGTCGATGCTGTTATTCCAACAACATATGCTCACTTGGGGTCTCTGTCACATTTGGGTAATTCTCACAATATCTCAAACTTTTTTTTATAACACGATTGCACGCTTAATACATGACAACAGTGGTTCTCAACCTTCCTAATGCCACAACCCTTTAGTACCGTCCCTCATGTGGTGGTGACACCCCAACCATAAACTTATTTTTGTTGCTACTGTTAGGAATCGGGCAACCTTTGTGAAAGGGTCATTCGACCCACAGGTGGAGAACTGCTGCATTACAATATAGCGTAGGCCCACTTGTCCTGCAGTTGGTAGTACTTGGGTTGAATGCTAAATGCTGCTTTGAAAGCTAACCCTGGGGTATTTCAAATACCAGCCAGGTCACTCCTGGTGAACGGCCTTCAGCAGAGCTTCCGTACTAAAAACCTGTTAGAAATGAAGAATGGGTGGTCAATTTCTGAGGGACGAGCTCCTAAAACTCTTATGACTAGCAGTGGAACCTTCTCTGACATGGTGCCAAGAGATGAGTTCTTCGGTTGGAAGGCGCTCAAAGTCGCCAATGGCCGAAACCATTGTAAGGAGGCAGCGGAGCGGACCGTGCTGCATGCTGCTGTGGCTACGAGCCCAAGTCCACTCGATGGCACCCGAGAGCAATGACATTTTGTAAACTTAACTTCCTGATGTGCTGGGAAACAACATTTCATTCGCTACTTGCTTTATGGCGGTGGTCAGCAACAGAACCCCCAAATGTATCTGTGAAGTTCTGATGAATGCACTTGGGTGCTCTCTGCCCACTTTGAGCAGGACTCAGAGGAACCTAGGGGCCAGGCTGTTGATGGGCAGGCAGAGCAGGGAGTGGAGGCGAGGGAGGGTTGGCTCGGGCCCTTGTGGTCAGTTGCTCTCCGTAAGCAGAGATCACATTCTCTTCCAGAGAGCCTGGAAGAATTTGCGGTCAGTCAGCTGCCAGGGCCCAAAGGATCTGGAGTTGAAGTGCTTGGGTCCAGGGTGCGTCACCTTGTGGTTGGGGGTGAGGGGTC